TATCTGCGGAACTGTGGAATCCCCTTGAATTTCACAGAAAATTTGAACTATGTTTAGATATGGTAATTTTCATATTTGAAGTATTTCTTTCTGTATGTTTAAATCAAGGAATACTGCATATATGCGATCTTTGGACCCCTATAGAGAAATTTAGTTGTTCTATCTGTTCCTTACTCTTCCCCCAAAATATTGGTATCTACCTGCATATGTATTTATCAAATTTATATAGCTTCCCATCTTGTCAAAATGACTTGGGGCAGCACGCAATAATGAGCTAAAACAAATTAAGAAAACACAGGTATATGTAAAATGGAAAATCCATATTAATAAAGATTATCTCTAACTGAAGAACACGTCTGATAAAAAACAACTGCTTTAAAGTGAGCATTACAAATAATGTGACAGTTTACAAAGTTTCAGGACTGATTTACTGTTGTTAATTATTTATATATGTAACACGTACATACATTTATAGTTTGATAAAATTTAAAGGCTGGCATGTAATTGAATTTTTCTGTGCGGCTTCTCAGAAAGAAACACATCTTTGATTTCTCCCCCCTCCACCCCCCAGTTATATTTAAAACACAAAGTGGGGAAAAGGATGTCAAAATATTTGCTTGCTACCCCCATGGAAAATAAATACATGTTAAGTACCCATTCACAAAAAGTTGGAAAACAGGATAAATAAAATCTCCTCCATTCTATCTACAGATGAGGAAGGAGAATAGGAAAGGATGCGACAGGCAAGTCATTTAAAGGAATTTTAGACAGCCCTTGTTTCTTGCAAAATCATTGAGGGATCTTCCCACGGAAAGGGAAGAAAATTGCATGTAGAAGCAGACTTTGGCTAACTATTAAGAATTGCTTGCTAAGAATACAAACAATTCAACAATGGAGGCGGTAGGTAGGTAGGCCAGTGAGTACAGGTTTTCTTCATTTGTTTATTTTATTTTATTATTTGTTTTCGTTTGTCACTCATGTACAAGATAACAGGAATAAGAATAAACAGGAATAAGAACACAGGAAATTGGTACAAATAAATGGGGATAGTAGGAGAGGGACGCTAGGCACTGGTGGCTTATGCATGCCCCCATTGAACTCTTAGGAATGGGGTATCAACAGTAGACAGCTTAAGGTTAATGTTATGGGGGTTTGAGGATGAAACAACAGAGTCAGGTAGAGCATTCAAGGCGTTGACCACTCTGTTGCAGAAGTCGTATTTTCTGCAATCGAGTTTGGAGCGGTTTACCTTGAGTTTGTATCTATTGTGTGCTTGTGTATTATTGCGGTTGAAGCTGCAGTAGTCTTCTGCTGAAATCACATGAAGACATGCTAGATAGGTTGTGTGGATGTTCTCCACACAAGGGAGTTGGAAGGGACCTTGGAGGTCTTCTAGTCCAACCTCATATGCTCAAGCAGGAGAGCTTATACAATTCCGGATGCGTATCTGTCCAATCTTTTCTTGAAAACCTCCAGTAATTTTTAGTGTGCGCATATAACAAATAAATCAATATATAATAATAAAGAGCTAGACTGGAAAACCCTTTTCAAAAGCCCAATGGTTGGGTTAGTAGATTGCTCCCTTGCAATATTCTCATGCTGGGTGAACTTAAGTATTATGGTTTGCAAACTAAGGCTTATGACTGAATGACAAGCCAACCTTAAAATAAGTCACGACTTTGCAGCATGTGGGATCCCAGCCATCGGCTAAGCTGGGGTTTGTTTAAGAATGATTTGTTGAAGAAGCTACAGCAGCTGGGTCTGCACATTACACTCAACTACAAACCACAGTTGTGGCGGTTCTTCCCATGGGCAAACCATCGTTCTTGGATGAACCCAACGCTAAAAGCAAGAAAAGTGGCATTGTGGTTTCATGCAACCATCCGTTCAGGGTAGGGTCAGGTTTTTGTGTTTGTGTGTGTTTGTGCATGTTGTAACAAGTTGAAATAGTGACTGTATTTTGACTTTTTCACCATTGCTTCCTGGCATGTCTCAAGTTGGTTAAAGAGATCTGGAGGCTCTGGGAAAACTATCACAGAAACCTGCCAATTCTTTTAGAAAGTAGATTGAACATTTTAACCAGCAGCTTCCCTTTTGGATTTGTATCCTTCCTTTTTTGGGGGGGAGGGGGGGTAGATGACAATGGGTCAGTCATCTTCTCTCAGCTCTGAGAAGAAAGAGGCAAGGATAAATCTCTTCCAAATATGATGTAAGAAAATTGCATGCACATGTCCAAGCATTTGATGTTGTGGCTCGCCAGCGGCCAGAGGAGCTGGCAGCAGAGTCGGACAGTGAAGAGTTTGGGGAGGAGCATGGGCTAGTCATGGAGGCTGGGGAGGGCTCTCGTTGGAGGCAGAGATGGAGCCGAGGCTGTCTGGCAGTGATCAGGTGCCTACAGAGCTAGAGAGCAGTGAGGCAGAGGAACAGCTGGAGCCTGTTCCCAGTGTGCACATGTGCAGAGCTGCCAATAGAAAAGAACAACTCAGAAATCAGGGTAGACTTGGGAATAAAGTCACAGGTGGAAGGTTGTTAGGAATATAATCTAACAGTTGGGTTAGCAATATATAAATCATATAGCAATGCTATACCTGTTTCTTTAA